TATAAATCAAATAACGCTTTTATTTTTAACCTGCAGCACTGAACATGGTTTTAAGATTTTCAGGAAGGCTATTCCGAACGTAGTGATCGGCTAGCCAAATTGGCAAAAGAAGAAGTGAGCAAATTCTCACCGGACACAAAGAATGAGATTTGTAAGTATTGTTTTACCATAATTGTTTTCCCTTTTCTTCTTTCTACATATCCCACATATATCATTTGCCCAATCCCTGAATTCTTGGTGTGATATTGAGGACGTTTCGTGGTTTCAGGCCTGCTAGCTACGCAACTATCCTCGCTCATCGAGTGCTCGAAACCTCCTCCGGTGTTACCGAGCAAAAACGAATCAAAACTGTCGAAATGCTCTTCGCATAAATCGGGTTGCAGCTGCAAGTACGATGTGAAGTTGTAGTGGAGAGCGCTGCTTTAGCAAAGTTGTTCATATCGAAGAACTCTTTCTCCTAAGAATTTTGTGATATCTTCATCTGTCACTTCATCCATCGTCGAATACATTGCCGGAGAAGCTGAATAAATAATTTTCATACTGTAACGAATATTAGATCCTTCCGCTGTGGTGAAAATACCAGAATGATCAAAACCAAGGACGGTACCTCTTCTTGGGCCAACGTTCGCTCGATTTATTAAAGTAGCCTCGAGAGTGACAATCGTGAAGAGGAAATCGCTGCCTCCGCTAGACCCCCACCCCCTGGACGAGGACCGCAATACGACCCCTTTTTATCTTTCGCACGCCGGTTTCATAACAAAAATGTTGATATAAAAATATTGTTTTAGATGTACGAGGGGGAATTCAGCATCCCTAAGATGACTTTCATATTGAGTATAGAAAAAGCAATAAACGAAACAGAACCAGTTAAAGCCAAAAAGGTCACTCGGATCATAACATGAAAACGGATAAATCTGTTATAGACGAGAAAGCAAAAGAAGATCATTGAACAGACTTCTACCAGAGAAGAACGGGGAGTAGGAAAGGTAAGGGGTGCTGCCTACAGGTTTTTGAGCGGTTTCGCGCTCCAGTGTAGCGACACTAATAAGTACAGTCCATATCCGACCGGTTGAGGGGGCGGTCCCACGGACGTACCAGCGCTGACAACGCGGGGATGGAAGTTTTGCCGTATCCCACCGATTGAGT